ACCGCTCTGACCGGTCAGCAACGGTTACGGTCAATGACCGGTCACAACGGTTATGACCGTGACCGTACCCATCCCTACTTGAGCTATCTCTTTTCATATCTTAATCAGTTACCATTATAGCTCCAAGAAAAAAAAGGCGATTACACAACTACCTAAAACTTTAGCTTCCAGGAATTTAGCGTCAGGAACTTTGACTAATGAATCTTCGCTTCCAGCCATTTGTCCTCTTAACAATAATCTATCATCGCAGCAACAGCCATATTTGGCCACACAGTCTTTACCGTTACATCAACAACCATATTTGACAACTCAACAACTATATTCGACAACTCAACAACCATATTTGACAACTCAACAACCATATTCGGCAACTCAACAACCATATCCGGCAACTCAACTTTATATGGATTCTTTAACATTAAACGAAGCGACATCGAAATATAAGAAGCAGTAAAATAATTAATGATATTTTTTTTTGTTTTTTTTTTTTATTAATAATAACTTATAGAAAAATATATATATATTTTTTTCTAGACTTTATTTTTGCAACCATCATTTACTACTAGCCATGATCAAGAAAATTTATTACCATTTGGCCCCATAGCTGTTGCCGTTGAATCAAGCACTTCTTCTACTTCATCTAATGTTCTTGGTTCAGTCGTTACTTCTGGAAAATCATTAAACCAGTAGACTTCTTCTGAAACACAGATGCTTATTGAAGAAGTAGAGAAACAACAAAATGCATTACAACAGGCAAAAGATCCAAGAGAGAAAGGTTGAATTTGGGACAAGATTATTGCTAATGTGCAATCATCTGAAATCGCAAGTATAGTTTTAAAGGAATATATAAAGACATCAATTCAGCAAAAATGGGACTCACTTCTTCAAAAGTATTGAGATATCAAGGCTAAGATTTCAAGCACTGGTGAAGAAGCTATCCAAAATAATTAGGAATTCTTTAATGATATGGATAAGTATTTAAAAGATGCCCAAGCATTACTGCGCCAATCACAAGTAACTCAATTTATGGGATTAAACATCAAAATATTGAAAATCAAGAGGAAAAGAGGTAAAAATATATTTATTATAGTATTTATATATTTATTTATTCATTCGTTTATTTATTTAAACTAATTCGACATTCAAAATTTACAGAAAGACATTAGAAAATGAAGAAGTATACATGCAGAAGAGAAAAGGACAAATATTGAAAAACTTCATTCTTTGATCAAAAAACAAACTGAAGTTATTACACAAATAATAAAAGATCAATATGATTATACTTCTGAAATGCAACAAAAGCAACATGAAGAACAAATAGATATTTTCAATCAGTTCTTATTAAAATTTTAAGTTATAAGTAATAATTAAAATAGTAAAATAATACAATTGTTAATTGTTATATAAATTTAAATATGTATGCAGTATAATAAATAAATTTATTCAAATTTGTAAGATTATCAGCTAAATAATATCTTTTTTGAGCTCCTGCTGTTTCTTGAGCTTCATTTATTGCTTCAAGTTCAGTTTCAAGATTTATGTTATCATTTATTTCTTCATCTATGTTAATATCTTCCGAAGCTAATACATCTCCCATATCAATGCAAAGATTATATAAAATACAACATGTATGGATTATTTTTACAATTCTTCCCATATTAGTACAGTAAATCTTCTTTAATAAAATTTTACACCTTCCTTTTAAACGCCTAAATGCTTTCTCTACAACTATTTGCATCAACGAAAGAACTTTATTGAAATGCCATTCATGAAGTGTTAACATATAATAATCAGGATAAGTTTTTATCAAATATATTCGCAGAGAGTATGCTGTATCTGTAATAATATATGTTCCACCTAGAACCCATTGTTCCAGATGTAAAGAAATTTCTTGATAGAGAGAAGATTAACAAAATATGTGCCAAAGCAAAAAAAAAATAAAATAAATAAAAATAAAAATAAACTAGCCTGCTTCTCCAACATATACGTAAGTAAAACACCCTTGATAATTGACAACTCCAAGAAGATTAATGGAGTGAAAACTTTTATGATTAATATAATGTAAACCATTTTTAGAAGGTGCATGAATAGGTATGTGGGACCCATCTATTGCACTGATAACATTAGGCAACTTGTGATTTCCAAATCTAGTTTCTCCACGTTCAAACCCTTGAATTACTGTTGCTAATCGTGATCCCTGTGGCCATGAAATTCATTCTTGCTTCAAATCTAGTAATGCTCTTAGAAATTGGTTGTTACAGATCCTTGGCTTACTCCAAGTGTCTGTTCTAATACTTGTATTCCTGTACCATTTGCTAATCACTGCAATACAATTACAATTTGCTTCCATACAGGTATTACATTTATGGTATTTGATACAAAAGCAGGATGTGTTTCCAAATGGGAAACAATGGTATAAAAAGTAGTACAAGTAATATGAAAGTGTCATCAAAAAGAATTATAACCTTCCCCATCTATTAAATATGGGAAGACATTTGTCCAAAACCCTCTGGTTTTGGGTCTTCACTGAATTTGCATTCCTGTACTGGGTAAAGAAAAAATAGATTAAATGGTTATATTCATTGTAATATAACTAAAGGCTAAAAGGTAGTATGTGTTTATTCTTTGAGTATTAACTTCTTTATTTGCTATAAGAGTTTTTAGTATAAAAAGTAGGAAAATCATTCTTTTGTAGCGACGATGGTCTTGTTAAAGATCCATATTATGAAAAAAATCATATCAATAAAATGAAAGAGTATTTTAGCTTGAGCAGTCTCTTTGATTACTCTATCAATGATAAATTTTAACCAATCAGCGCAGCTCTATGAAAAAAAATTGGTAGCCGCAGCTCCAGGTTTTTTTGACCGAAGTGATGATCACGATCGATTTTTTTGACCAATAAAATCGTTCGATAAACTCATTGAGATAGGCGCTTGAGAACGGCCTAAATCAAGTCACATTACCGTTACTGTAATCAGGAAATTGGCATAAAATTTGGCGAATTGGATTTAAGCATGTGACCTTGCTTGATGAAATTTTATATATAATGTGGATTAGATTGAAATTTTGTATACAGTAACACAATCCCTATCAAACGTGTACTGCGGACGTTTTCAATATGATTACAATACCGAATGAATGCTACAGTAATTTATTAATGCTCTAGAACAATGCCATTAAAACCGTGAAAAGTTGCATGTTTGTTTATCTAAATACAGTCAGACCTCTCTAAATGCATAGCATTAGGCGCCCAAAAAATCTAGCATTTAAAGAGGTATTGCATTTAGGGAGGCAAAAATCTATAAGTGTTATATGAGTTGGGACCAGCCATGCATTTAGAGAGACTATGCAATTAGAGAATATGCATTTAGGGAGGTCTAACTGTACAACCTAAGCGAAAAAATAGCCAAAAAGTCAATCTAACGTATCACGAAATTAAAAGCGTTTTGTATAGTCTACTCTCTTGCTTTTGGTTTTCCTCTTTAGTAAGCAAAAAAAAAAAACGAACTAATAGTTAAAAATGTTAAATATATTAGCCAATAGTAGGAAAACTTTTTATCCTGTGCAGATTTAAACAGTAAATCCGTTTTTTTTAACTTTTCTACTCAGATTTTTTGTCGTCCAAATTATTTGATAATCGCAATGTTTCTTGGCGATCGTAATTTATGTCGATCTACTAACCAATGAAGTCAACATATACTTCACCGCATTTGATTGGTTGTACAAAACGTGATCAAAATGTTAAGACTAATAACATATCAATGAGTAAGATATCAAGAATGTCATTACAATACTAATTCGTTAACAATTGTTTAATCACGATATTATAATACCTTAGCCCTTAACATATTGAGCATCTGTAAGTTTTGTACCAAATCTTTTTACAACAAAATTCACAACCAAATATTGGGTGTCGTGCACTATTTCGATCACCATGAAATTGCATCTAGGTTAATGCTTGAGAACACCCTTCAATTAAAATTTTTGTTCGTATTTACATAAGATTTTGTCTTGCATCAAATTAATAAATTAACGGGATAATTAATTTTAAAAAAAAAAAAATTTATCGAAGATATAATGCTTTAAAATAGAATAACAAGCAGTTATTGTGGTCGATTTAGCATTGGCCGATAAAATCGACTTTTCTCTAAGGTGATTCTCAAGCATTTCAATTTATTGATAAATAATATTAATACTCAAGCATCTCGATATTTATAAAATTAGTGCTTGAACGTACTATTTTTATCTTTACTATCCATTTAAAAAAATCTCAAAAATTTTTCCATTCAGCAAGTCTTTTTAATAATTTTACCAATTTAAATCTTTTATTGCAACAGCAAAAGAATCAATTTATAGAATGAAAGTTGGTTTAAAATAGCTATTTTTTAGGTCGGATATAAGTTTGTTTAGATTCATTATTTATTATATTTAATATATAAAGAATACAAAGTAATGGCAAATTATTGAAGAAAAAGATGGGTTGTTTCTCATTGATTTGTTTTTTGATTCTTTTCCTTGAAAATGAGCATAGTGATTACTATGTCCTGTAACGTCATTTTCAAGGCAAAAAACCTCATATGACAATTTTTAACTTTATCGCTCTTTCAGTTGAAATGCTTGATAATATTCTTAGACGATTGTTGGTTTTGTACATAGGAAAATTTATGAAAACTAGATAATCAAACAACTATGCAACATATATTTATTTCACATACTAAAGAGTAATCAACTTTAGATAATCAACGATACTAATTTTTAATTGCGGTTTAGTCGAGTCGACATTTTGGTCAACTACGAATTGAATTCAGTCATATGACCTTGCACAAAAAATTTATTTAAAATTCGTAATTAAAATTTTGTATAACATAAACATTTCCTAAAACTCTCTCCAAACAGTGGAGACGTTTTTCAATATGATTACATTACCGAATGAATGCTACTACCAAATATTCAATAATCTTCGGTCTAATTATAAAAACTTATTTTCATGTGCTCTTGTAAACCGTCGATGGTGTAGAATTATTATCCCAATATTGTGGAGTGAACCGAAACTCCATTTTAAAGATAAAAGACTTATAGAAATATTTCTTTTAACATTAAATACTCAAGAACGAACTCTATTAATCCCTTTTAAAATCTCCATTCCAAGTCTCCCAAAACCGTTATTTGAATATACAGTTATATCACATCCGTTAACAATTATTTATATGATGGTATTAGTAACTGGCTTTATTATGGAAGATATAAAACAGGATGTAATCTTGAAAGTGCCGTTACGTGTTCTTTGATTTTGATGTTTCTACGAACTAGTAAGAATCTTAAACATTTAATCTTTCAAGAGCTTATTTACAATCAAACTGTATACGAAAATCTTTATGAGACCTCCATGAAGTTATTATCTGATGCACTTTGCAAAAATACCACGCTTACCTTTTTAAATCTTGATAATAATAATCTTGGATCAGAAGGCGGAAAAGTATTAGCAGATGCACTTTGCAAGAACGCCACGCTGACTTCTTTGCATCTTTATAATAATAAACTTGGACCAGAAGGAGGCAAGGCATTAGCGGATGCACTTTGGTGAACACCACGCTAAATTATTTGAATCTTGAAAGAAATAATCTTGGATCAGAGGGAGGAAAAGCATTAGCGAATGCACTTTGCAAGAACACCACGCTAACTTCATTGAATCTTAATTCAAATGAATTAGGATCAAAGGGAGGAAAGGCATTAGCTGATGTACTTTGCAAAAATACCACGCTGACTTCTTTGTATCTTCATTGTAATAACCTTGGATCAGAAGGAGGAAAAGCAATAGCTGATGCACTTTGCAAGAAAGCCACTCTGACTCCTTTAGGTCTTGAAGAAAATGAAATTGGATCAGAAGAAGGAAAAGCAATAGCGGATGCACTTTGCAAGAACGCCACTCTGACTTCTTTAGATTTTGGAGCAAATAATATTGGATCAGAAGGAGTAAATGCATTAGCAGATGCACTTTACAAGAACACTATTCTAATTTCTTTGTGCCTTGAAGAAAACTATCTCGGATCAGATGTAGGAAAAGCATTAGCTGATGCACTCTGCAAGAACATTACGCTAACTTATTTGAATCTTAATTGTAATAATCTTGGATCAGAAGGAGTAAAAGCATTGGCGAATGCACTTTGCAATAACGTCACGCTGACTTCTTTGAAACTTGGATCCGAAGGAGGAAAAGGATTAGCTGATGCACTTTGCAAGAACGCCACAATGACTTCTTTAGATCTTAGAGCAAATATTATTGGATTAGAAGGAGTAAACGCATTAGCAGATGCACTCTGCAAGAATATCACACTGACTTCTTTAGATCTTTGTTATAATAATATTAAATTTAAATCTAGACTAAGCGATAAAAGAATAAGAATACTACCATAACAAACTGAATATGACAAATGACTCATCATAAAATTGAATATAAACACAGAAAAAATTATAATAAACGCATAATAAACAAATTTAAACTTTGTCATTTGATAAAGTTCATATTATATTACTTGAATTTACATTTACAATTGATAATGTGTTACGAATTTATTATCAAAAAACTAATCTTCAACATAAAATTCCCACAATGAACTTTGAAATTCAAAGATTAAGTTCACATCCAGAAATTAATAAAAGATAGTGATAATGTTTAACTTCATACTAAATTTCATAGATGTTTTCGTGCATCTAGGTAGTGTATGCATTTAGACTAAATAATTAATTTTTTAATAAGAAAATCCTGCACAATTTGCTATTAATTCAAACTTCGTGTTATTTCGTTTCATTTGCATACATATCACCCATGGTGTTATTCATTAATCGCCCATGAATTTGCCATAGCGATCGAGGAATTCGTTAATCATTAAATTTTTTATTCATTTATGAACATACATGCATTTACGTATGTTGCACTCATTCCGACTAGTAGTCAGAATACATCACGATTTGATAACACTATAACCACAATACGCATTCACCTTCACCTCGGAAACATAAATTTTTCATGAATTTTATAAACAATTTTGCTTTGAAAATTAGGAATTAAGCCACCATCAAAATGCAGAATAAGTTTTTTTACTATACCTCCAGCTCGTGCTCAGCTTTGGAGAAAATGACAAATCAAAAAGTCTATCAACCCACCCAAAAACACGGTATGTGATAATGTCATCTAACAACCAGCGTACCGTTCTGCCAATTTGGTCAGTTACTCGCTTTTATGTCATGTATTTTACATTGGTTCAATAAAAAATCACTTCCTGATTTGTTCAAATAAATGGAGAATAGACTAGTAAATCATAATTTGGCACTTATTAATCAATTTTAAAGTTTTTAATTCCAACTAAATCTTTGTTCTTATTTACATAAGATTTGTACAATGTCACATTAACAAATTAAAGGAATATCTTTATCTGAAAAAAAAATTAACTGTTCTTCGAAGTTATAATGCTCTAAATATAGAATAACATGAAGTAGTGATTGTCAATCACTACTTCATGTTATTCTATATTTAGAGCATTATATCTTATTATATCTTCGAAGTAGTGTTTGTAGTCGATCATTATTTATTGACTTGACTAAGTCGATATTTAAAAATCAGCCTAGCCGGCTAAATCAGAGTCGATTATTCTTAGTTCTATTTGATTAACCTTCGGATGTTATCGGAGATTTCCTCAAATTTTTGTCAACCTTGCTCATGTTTTATGTTCGTTGATTTTCTTTTCGGAAATTTTCGGATTTTACTATAAACTGGCCTAAATTTTTAAGGGGAATTTACATATAAGGGCCCAAAAAATGAAAATAATTACAAATTGGGGCCCAAACTAAAAGTAATTACATATAAGGGCCCAATTTTTTTTTAAAACTTATTACGAGTAGAAGCCAAAGCACAAATAAATTTGACTAATGCATTAAGTATGTTTAATATGTAATCGCAATAGCATATTTTATTAAAAAATAAAAAAAATATACATATATAATAAGCAGTTTATACGTCTATCATTTGCAATTATGTTCACTTTTGCTTACGTCTTCGGTCACAGATGCGTGAATTATGACCTTTATCCCCACACTTTCTGCAAGAAACTTGGTCTTCTGGTGCGGTTTCTCCACGACTACATAAGCGAGTTTTTCGTGGACATCCTGCTTGCTTAATTGTTTTGGGTGGTAAAGTTTTACCATCAGGAACACAAGCTTTTATGTCAACAGGCTGAACAGACTCCTTATAAACGTTACATAAAGTAGCAGTATGGTATGTATAATGAATAAATTGTAACGGTTGTTTGTGTATTTTGAGAATGGCAGCACATGCATGCACGCAAGGAAATCGATATTGTTGAAATTTTTTGCAAGTGCAGGTAATTAAGGAAAGATCTACAATGCGGAAGTTACTATTGTTACTTTTAACTTCAAAAACTGAATCACTAGCTTGATATACTATTCTTTTGCGACAGCTATCAATAACGGATTGAAGTTACTGAGTAATAGTTTGTGGTAACATTGCTTGCACAGAAGAATATGTTGTATAACGATTAAAGTAATAATTACAGATTCATTTGTATTAATTAATGGAAGTGCTACATTTAGATTTTCACAAAACCATGCCCAATTACTTGAATTCTCAACAGATCCAATAGCAAATGCCATGGGAACAAGTTTATCATCACCTTCAATTACATTTGCACAAAAATATACACCATTATAGCTCAATTTTGAATGACATGCATCGAGTGTAAAGACAGGTCTACAGTATTTAGTAGCCTTTATTCATGGTATCAAACAAAGAAATACACAAACAAATCGATTTTCATCATCTATCTCAAATGAAGTAATGCTTCCAGGATTTGCTATAAGTAAATCGTCAAGAAGTGGTTTAATACATTGATAACTCCTATCTATTTCCTCCGCTTTACTTTTTTTATTAGCAGCTCTACTTCTTCAAGCTGTCATATATGATGCTTCAGCTCCCACTTCTGAGCGAACACGGTTTACAATATCACGAGGCTTAAGCGCAGCTATATTTTCAATTAATAGCACAGCGAATTTAACAAGATACGATCCACGTGCTTTAAATATCTCTGTGAATGTTGGACAATTTTGATCATGGTTGATTAATTTCACTATATGAATGAAACCATCTTTACGTTTATTGGCTGAAATAGTAAAAGGACATGCGCTAGTTTTATTTGTAGGACAAATAGCAAGTAACTTGTTCGATTTGTTGGTTTTGAACTTATAAGGCAATGAAAGCTCAACTGAATAATTATCCAGAGCTAAGCGAACGCTTGCCATATCAGTAAATGTCTTGCACGATATAGCGTTGTATTTGGCATGGTGAATATTTGGAATGTAAGAGCGAAAAGTAAAAGATAAGCGATTAAGTTAAAAGAAACAAAAGATAAGTATATTTTTCATTTTATATTTAGCCATATAACAGTTATTAAATTACGTTTATTCATTTCTTATGCGTGCAAAATTTTAGATCCCTATTCGTAAAAATTGGGCCATTATATGTAATTACTTTTAGTTTGGGCCTCAATTTGTAATTATTTTCATTTTTTGGGCCCTTATATGTAAATTCCCCAATTTTTAATATAATCTATATAACCTATCATAGAGTCGACTAAGTCGATTTTTTGAAAAATCGGCTGACTAAGCCGGCTAAGCTGATTTTATTGACTAATGCAAATTTGACTACAAACACTAAGAACAATATTTATCTGAAATTAATTCTATCATATAACGAACATTACGGTTAGTTGGTTGGTTGATATTAACAAATTCAAAGTTGACATGATTTAAATACATGAGCAGATACAACCAATCTCTTGCAATTTAAATAAATTTTAGTATTTAGCCAGATAATGTATTTGTATTAAAATAACGTGGAATGTTTATTGTATAATAGAAATATGATGAATTATTCGCAAATTTAATTAAAGTATTAAAAAATGTACGTATCATGGACGTCTTATATAGAGAATATACATGCTGTAGAAAGTATCGTGGCATAATTTCATTAGCTTACCAATCATTGATTGCAATTAGGGTCCCAAATCGGATGACCTGGTTTTGCCTGCCATATTTGACCAAGATTTTCAGAAATTTGGGTCTTTAAACTATTCTTTCATCAATAATAAATTTACAGGTAAATAATAATTCTATATAGATTCTTGCAAATTCCCACATAATTTCTATTATTTTTCAAGTTATTGAACTATAAAAATAGAAAAAAGGGGTCACAATTACCCGTTTGACCCGTTTAGGTCAATTTTAGAATTCAAATAACTCAAAAACCAATACAAAGATTATAAAAATCTACCTAGACATTTATAGAAAGCTAATCTTCTAAAACTCCACTAATAATTAAAAAGACCAGTTTCCTAAAATTATTAATTAATTATAGTAAAAAAACAGGTCAAAAAGTTTAGAACCCTAAGGCCATACAAACTTAATGATTCAGTTTTCATAACCCGGCCGGGTCAAAACTTACAAATTTTTTAAAAAAATTTTAAGTATATTTATTATCCGGGTGAGTTTTTTAAAAAAATCTAAAAAATTTTATATGCTTTTTATATATAAAATTTTTTGAAAATAAAATTAAAAGCCGGGTTGTCGGGGCACTTTTAAAAATTTTATGCCGGATTATTAAGTTTGCATGGCCTAAGTAATTGAATTTTTTTTAAACAGACTTACTTCTGTCATATCTAAAATCAAATATGCTATAAGAGGTACCCATTGAACTATATAGACCAAGATATAACTTACGATTTTTCTTGACGCAGAAGAGAACTGTTCTTTGAAATCAAAATTTGTAATTTTCCTTAGAATGCTTAAATAGCAAAACAAGGAGATTACAAGAATTGTCAAATCAACGGTTATTAAACAAATTGGAACTATGATAAATTCATCAGGAGTATAACACCTATAAATTTTTAAAAATGTAAATATAGTGTCAAATTCGTAGATAAAATGTTAATTCATGTATCGATTATTCATATACGTACCAAAATTGATCACTGCCAAATGTAGACGCAGAAATAGCTGTTAAAAAAGCCGAGAGTCCAAATGGAATAATAAATAATTTGTAATCATATGCGCCTAAATCAAATTGTACTTTTTTGCATACTATTCAAATAGGAAAAAAAAAAAAGATCAATAATGTTTTTACTGATTAAAAAAAGTTGCTATTACACATATTCTAATCCAGGTTACCTATGAGCCAGCTCATTAATGATGATATGCCAACAAAACTAATACTTGCTATGGAACTAAAAAAGAAACCTCCAGCAATTATTGAACATACCGGCTCAGACCAGTTAACGATATACAAAAGAGGATGAATCTAATTTATAAAATATGAAAGTTAGTAACAGTAAGTTAAAATTTGAATTATAATTACATTTAGTTCTTACCAAGTTGACGCTTTGAAAAGCATAGATAACGAAATCTATTTTGAAACAATTATTTATCAAATTTTGATAAAATAAAAAAGACTTTTTTAAGACTTATAATAATCAAATAATAATTACCGAAGCATGCCATATAAAATGGTAACTTATAAACCATAGATAAACATTTATTCATTCTTCGCCGGCGAAAAAATGTACGATAAATTACATATAATATGCAACAGGCATCAACTTGAAGTAATGCCAGACCAATCGCATAGACTGCACGCATAGTCGAGGCACCAATTTCTTTTGCAAGGTCCATATTAAAATTAGAATCATCATCAGAATTGGTGTGATAAAAGGATTCACTTAAATTGTTTGAAGATAAAGGTAAGTCTTGACAATAACTTATTGAAAAGAAATATGTCAAGAATACCAATACGTAAAAAAGGAATGTTTGGGAGAGCATTAGGAATGGATAATCAGTTTGAATGATACAGAACAAATGAAATTTAAAATAAGTTGCTTTTTAAATAATTTTGAGACTTGGCAAAATTTTAATATTGAGCATATTAATTGTCAAGAGACGACAACTGCAAAAAACTAAACCAAAATTTTTAAATCACTAGCTTTTATGCACGTTAAATAAAAATAGTGTATTTGAATAAGCAAACAGATAGATGCATTTTTATATGACGCGTTTTAACTGCAAAATTGATGTTACATAAACTTGTTTACCAATAATATATACAGTAAAATCAATGACGAACTTATATGCACTATATCATGTTTTATTTTCATAAATTTAACCAAGAATGTTAAATTTTTTTTTTTTTAAAGTTAATTTTATAATTCACTTAATTCGTTAAAATTTCACCGGGAAATTTTTTAACCACAATTGATGCATGTCTAAATGACATCTGCGGAATACAAAAGATCAAATTGCAAATATAAACAAAATAGCTTCAATAAATCAATAAATGAAACAATTATTACAGTATTAGTAGAATGAAGTAGAATGAATTGCAGATCATAGTTGAATACAAAATATAAGGTTTTACGACCGTGCACTTTATGCACCTGTATGCGTTTACGGTAAAAATTGTCTTTTTTTTTTCCGTAATACTACGTACGTACTAATAATTATCTTACATCTCGTTTCAGAATAAAAAACTGAATATGCGAGAAAGAGCTATATTTACTTCTTAATATCATTTTAGTCACCTTAATTGGAATAGTGTTAAAATCGTGTTCAATTACTTGGTTTTAAAATGGTTTGATTAAAAAGTAAATATTATTTACAGATTTTTTCACTTATATAGTGTTTTTTATTATTTTCTAACTCGTTAACTATTAATTTGATTATGTTAATGTTATTTCAACTTAGCCATAAATTTACAGGATTCAATCTTTAATTTTGTAAATATCCAATAAATCCCGTATAACTTTAAATTATCAGATTACTGTACGAGTTCAAAATTTCCAAGTACAGTACCGGACAGCAAAAAATATTCAATATGGGGAATAGACTAGGAAAAACCACCAGTTAGCATTTAATTCAATTTAAAGTATCGGTTTTAATTTACATGCAGTACAATTTTTATTATCATTTACCTAATAAATATTAAGATTTTTAGATTTGAAAAAATCAATTCTTCGAAGATGTAGCGCTCCATCGATTGCCAATGTAACACAAACTTTAATCGCATCTTGTCAAATCACTCCCTAATAAGTGTTGGCTTGGACTTGGACAAATATGGACTAATCCAAATAATATCTTCTTTACCTAAAGTTTCGGAATATTTCGGAACTACCTAATTAAAAGTATGGACAATATGGACATAGTTCATTGCCAACACTGTCCCTAATTAGTAAATAACCCCAAGTCGTATAGGATAATAAGCAACGGTTTAGGTAGTTTATTATATTTACAGCCGCCTTATATATATATATATAGTCTACCGCTATATGTTTATAGCCAATTAAAATTTAGCTATATAAAATTAACCAATCATAATTGATTATATAATAAAATTGACGTTTTAAAAACAATAGATGTTTTTTTTTGCTGTCTCATACTGTATTTCGCTTAAAAGTAAATCCAAATAGTTTTTAAATTGATCACTACGCCATCATTTATAATTCTGGTCAAAATTGACCAGATTTAGAATAAATAATAAATATTTATTAGACGGATCCGCCTTCACCGACAGCTCACTTGGCCGACATCACGCCAAGTGACAATTTACTAAAAATATATGCCTGCAATTAATAAAACGCTACCCCCAACCCTATGTGATGTCGGCTAAGTGAACTTTCGGCGAAATGATTGTCGGTGAAGTGAGCAGGACCATTATTAGATTGTGCAGATCCACCTTTCCAAAGTAGATCTAGAAGAAAATGAAAACAAAATTCAACAGATAGTCAAATAAACATTAGATTAATAAGCTTATTACTTTAAGAATTTTTATTCATGTATTAGGTAATGCACAGTACCAATCGAATCTAATTACCTGGACATGATAAAATCTAATTCCAACGTGTACACGAATGAAAATTCATGAAAATTCATTTTTCTAAACAATTAGAGACGGATAAGTTCTCTTTTTACTTCCTATATATTATTTAGATCACAAGTTAAGGTATTATTGATTTACTAACTTCAAGAAAAAGGTCACAAAATTATTATGAAGAAATCTGAGATATCCGTTAAATTTTTAAACAGGAAAACGGGTAACGAATCGAATCTCTAGGATCGCATAAGATCGCATAAGAATACTGTATATTCTACCTACGCTAAAATTTTATTTCTGTTCATGCTATGATATCGTATTAGAAAAATTAAAATTTACTGAGCTACAAAAACGTATCAACTATACATACAGTACGCAAGTGCACTTTCCACGCAATGTCCTATGTATACATGCTATTTTTCAATCAATACCAAACTTATAGAATTTGTAACCCATAAATGTACATACTCTCTAATGTAAACCTCTATATATCAGATATGTCATAAGATTGAAAAAAAAAAATTATATTAAAAAGAAAGTCTTAACAGAAGCAAATTACGTGATTAAATATTCATCGTAAAATTGTAGGATAATCTAATTGGACAGCAGCTGAACTGCTTAGTGTACTAATTTTTCAAGTTAAGATAATATTTGAATTCTACAATATTTATTATTTATAAAGTCGTATATATATATTTATAATTATTACAATAATTTTCAATATTCGTTGAACCCGTAGTAGTTATTGTTAGAGTGGTGCATTTTTCGCTGCGTGATTCATTTTTTAATCCTTACACTTACCCTTACCATTACCATTACCATTGCCCTTACCATTACCATTACCATTACCATTGCCCTTACCATTACCATTACCCTTGCCTTTACCTTTACCCTTACAATTACCATTACCATTACCCTTGCCTTTACCATTACCATTACCCTTGCCTTTACCCTTGCCTTTACCCTTGCCCTTACCCTCACTCTTACCAATATCGACTTTCACCTAATAAAATTTTATATATTATAATAAGGAATTCTTAGTATTTAATTTTCTACGTCATTAAAACAAAAAAAAAAGTACTCTTACATCTGCTTCAGCAGTCATCTGTTCAGGAAATTGGACTCCATTACAAGGTGGTGGACATGATGTACAAGGTGATGGCTCACAAGGTCGTGGAGGATTTTTGTGGTCACAATCGCAAGGCAGTACATATGACTTACAGGGTTGTGGGTACTCATTACATTGACACTCTTCACAAGGTGGCGGATGTGGGCACTCTTCATAAGGTAATGGGTGTGGGTGTTCATTACAAGGTGGTGGATATTCGTTACAAGGTGGTGGGTATGAATGTTCTTCACACGGTAGTGGGTGTGGATGTTCTTCACAAGGAGGAATCGGAATGCATTCTTCGCATGGTGGTGGGTGTGGATGTTCTTCACAAGGAGGAATCAGAATGTATTCTTCGCATGGTGGTGGTTCTTCGCAGGGAGGAATTAGTATGCATTCTTCGCATGGTGGTGGTTGTATACATTCATGACATTGCGGTGGTGGACATTCTAAATATTGCGATAGTATTTTGTCTGGACGTTCCCATAATTCACAAACAATATCATCTAAAAGTTCGGAGCGTTTCTCGGGGGGAGAAAAAGTTTTAGTTGATCTTCTATTTTGAGCTTCAGGTTCTTCGAGTGAATCATATTCTCTTGGTAGACAAATCGGAGGATAACGACGAATGGGTTTCTGGTACGATCTTAATTCTAGTAAATCATTGCGGCAAACATCCAGAAACCCTTGTGCAAGTAGAGTTTCAGTAAAAAGTACAGAACATAAGATCAATAGGATACCAAGATGAACAATGTTTAACTTTGCCATTAAGAAGAAAGAACAAAATAGAACCAAGATTATATATAGTATAGAAAAAATTAATGGCTTAATTATAATACATTGACATTAAAAAGAACTGGAGCTAGTTCACGCTGAATACCAATTTATGCATTATCGTATAACATGTTATGCTGTAATTATCATCTAGATCATGATACTTTATGATGCATGATACTTTATCACTGATATTATGGAATGAAATTAATGCAGATGAAAACAATTAACAATGTGGGTTTTGTGTTTTCTAGATCAGGATTCTGCCGTGATTATCATCAACTTTTAAAATGTCAAGTTCTAAATATATATTTGTGAAAAAAATTTTTATAAACACTTAATTATATCACACTTAGTAAATAATTTCTTGTTATCTGGCATGATTTGACGGATACATGGGTATTGGCAGGATAATAGCAAAAGCACGTGGCCGAA